GGTCCTACATCCTACTGAGCCAATGCCGTTCTCGCTCTGTATTCCGACTATTCTTCTGGAATAAAGATCACTTACTGCTGCTTGCTGTCTCTGTCTTTTATCCAAATTTCATCACTTTTTGACCACTCCTTCTTGGTATTGCATTTTCAATGTTGAGCAGTATATATATTATATATATTTATATATTACTTAAATTAATTTGGTAATATACATATTATATAAAAAATTTAAACAAAAATATTAACTGAATGAACATTTTTTGAATTGTCATAAAAAAGTTCTCCAAATGTCTATAGCAGTCGATCTCAAACTTTTTTGGCCCTAAGTTATGCCCTTAAACCATTGCTAGATCATTTTCCGCTCTCTTTCCAAAACTTGAAAAATGCATGTACTTTACTCATTTAGATATTTTTTTTTTCACAAAATTGTTATGAAACAGAATGAAACATTTTTGGAATTGTCGATCCCCAAGTCTATAGAGCGAAAATTTTTTGGCCCTAATTATGCCCTTAAACCATGATTAGATCATTTTACCTCTCTTTCCAAAACTTGAAAAATGCAGTACTTTATAATTTAGATATTTTTTTAGCGAACAGAGGAAGCAAGTGTAGTCAGGCTGACTTAAAACTCCCGAAAAACTATCCTTATAAGAGGAAAAACATGAGAAACTTGTTTTAACAGGCCTTCTAGTCAACAGGGATTAGATTTTAAAAGTAAAACAGCATTTTAAACTTTGTAAAAGTACCAAGTCTTGTATTCAGATAATCAAAGATTCAGAAATAAGAAAGTAAGAAATGAAAAAAGATTTAAATTAAAAAAATATTGCAGGTGGGATCCCAAATATTTTGTTGGTCAATTAAAATTAAGGATAGAAAAGAAAAAATTGGGGTGAAAAATATTAAAATTCTTATAATACATTTTGTTTTAAATAATTTTTTTTCTGGAGGATCCCTGATACATTGTTCTTTTCGCATTAGATTGGGTTTTCATTTATGAAAAATCAACGCAAATGTTACAATTCAGAAAAGTTTTTTACAAAAGGAATGAGGAAAAAATTCAAACTATTGCATTTTTAATTTGTTTGAAGGGAAAAATTCAAGTTATTTATTTTTTTGAGAGATTAAAACATGCGAAATAAATTTTGTTTTAATAACAATGAATGTGTTTTAATTGAACGTTGTTTTTTTAAAATGTTTTTTAAACGAGACAAAAATTTAAGGGGATCATAAATTAAAAACAAAAAAAAGCCTATGGACAAAAAAAATTACACATCCTATTACAGAAATTCCAACTGAAAAAAACAGACAAGTATAAAAATATCTCTGAAACAAAAAATTGACTTATTGTTGAATTTCGTAATTGTTTGAAAGGAAATGCATTAATATTCAATAATTGCGAATGTGTTAAAATAGATAATTGGAATCTTTTAAAAACTAAATTTCTCACATATTTTTCGAGTTTAAAATGTGTTCCTTTCATGATTTTATTTCAGTAAGTTATAATAAATTTAATGATGTTGATCAACATTTCAACATCATCATATTGCTAAGCTTGTTTTATAACATACATGTTGCTGTTCGGTTATCGGGATCAGACTGAGATATCGCCAAAAGCTGATGACTAGGCAAAACATTCGAAGCATAAAAGTAATCGCCAAAATATTTACAATACGATTAAGTTGAAGAAAAATCCAAGGGGGAAAAACAACATAACAGATATTTCTAAAATTAGAAACTTTTAATGCAAATTAAACAACTTCCTAAAGAAATCAGGGGGGAAAAAATTCAGTTAGTGAACTAAAATTAACTTGAAGTCATAAAACCACGCATATCATTTAAAATGTCTGAAAACATTAGCAGTTACACACAGCACATAAAAAACATTCTTTTGCTTCTCGGCAAATCCTGCCCTACACACAGTGGAGTGGAAAGATACGATCAGCGTTATTTTTTCGACATTTTTAAAACAGACTACTGTCAACTTCGATAATATTACCAGTGCCACATATTTTAACCGACAGTTTAGATATTAATGCATGGCCAGATTTCCCTTATGTAACTGTTTCAATCAACCAACAACGCAGTAATTCATGTCAAGTTGATTCAAGGGAACAAATTCCTATTCCGTCTCAATTCTTCAGACCAATTTTGAGAAGTTAATCCATTTTTTTCGGCATGTCATAGCTTCACAACACCATTTCGATGTTTCCTTCGATTTGAAATACAGCTTCATTTTATGGTTTTTCGCGCACTCTCGTACTCTTCGGTTTTGAGGGCCGTCAAAAATCGCCAAACTATTGTTGATGCCAGTGCTGCCAAAAATAATTGCAGCAACCCAAATGCAAGAAAGGAAGTATAACAGTATATAACCATCTAAGATTGATGTTTTAATTTAGATGAAAGGTTAATTTCGTATACTTTTTTATTATTATAATTTATATAAAAAATCTGATGTGTACACCACATGACTTCTTTGTATGGAATATTAAATTATACGCATTTTTTCTTGCATTTTATTTAAACTTATTAGATTGAATTAAATCTACTTCGCCGACAGTGCATAAACCACAGTAGAATAAATGCACTTTTTCTGGCGCTCTAGGTTTACTTAACAGTATATATTTCGTTCTCTGAATGTTATATCATTTAAAGAATTATTAATCGTTAAATTCTATAATAAAGCTAGAACTATGTATAAAAGAAATTAAGCAACATAAAACAAAAAAGAAACAGTTTTCACAGACGACAGTTTTTCTCATTAATTCAGTTCTCACTTCGCTGTCAAGGCAAAAATACATAAAAACTCAAAATATCTATAAAAATTACGAAGAAATCTTAACGCTTATTTCCTCAAGAAAGGATTAAGCATGATTTAATTGGAATAATAAATGAATGAGTTATCTTTGTTGTTGTACGCTAAGTTCTCTAGATTGGCAAAAATCCACTACTGTTTCAAATGTAAACATCAATGGCCGCCACAAATTAGGCTTAGTGGCACTTAAACAATTTTATATTGCATACAGATTTACTAAAGGCATAAAACCTTAACCGGAAGATAAAACAAACAACATAATCGATCATTTTTAAAGCAAAAAAATGTACAATTTACAACATATAAGAGTAAGAAACTGAGATCACTGAGCCGGGTAACAGAGTGGATATATATAAATATATTTATATAAGTTTGGAGCGCCCGACTGAAACCAAAATACGAGGTGCAATCTACATGTTAGTAGTCTTATATACAAAATTTCAACATTCTGAGGGCTACTCGTTTTGAGTTATGCGAGATACGTACAACGACGTACGTACGTTCGTACAGACGCCACGAAAAAAAATTCTCTTCAGAATTAATTTTAAAGCGTTTTTTAGTTTTTTTGGAGGAAAAGAGTTTTTTTATTCTGGCCTTAAGTACAGATATCACGCCAAAAAAAATCGTTAAATTGAATTTGAAAGTGGTCAAAGTGGATATTTTCGTTGAAATATGCTGCCTGAAGCTTTTCGCGATTACAATACTTCCTTTTTACTTCGTACAAAAAAGTAAAAAGGCTAAACATGACTGAATAGAAGCATAAGAGTAAATAACTATTTCAGATCATTATTATAATTTACATAAAAATTGCTACACATAACTGAATAGATGCCTGCATTGCTATTTCGCTACCGAGTTATCGCTAAAGCATAATTTTTTCTCGTTGGTTGTTCAAACATAATTTTCTATAATGAATGATGTATTTTCTTTGAAAAAATTCTCGGTAAAGTACAGAATTGCCCATTTATTTGTTTGCTGCTTTTTACAAGGGTAAAAACAATTGGATTTTTGTCAATTTTTTTTTTTTACTTTTTAAGTGAAAATAGGTCGATGTGTACATGGATACCGATCATGCATCAAGCAATGGGTGATTCTAGACTTTCTAAATTCTATTGCAGACTTTTGGTCATGGGGAATTCCCAAATTGTTAAAAAACCATAGGATATCAAAAAAGGATTTAAAATCAAGAAAGAATTTAAAAATTAAACTAGTATTTCAATGGCTTAAGAAATCTAGAGAACTATCTAAACTTACGCAATTTGAAATCAGCAGGTACGCTAGATTTGGCACACTGTTAAATGGACGCGTTTGCTAGATTTGGCACTTTTGCGCATACATTTTCACTGCAAGTTTTTTATGGTCCTCAAAACAGAATAGTACCGCACTTTCTTTCAGAGTGAATAATTCCTCGTTCCTGAAGAAACTGTATGGTAGATGTTTCATCATTAGGTATGATAGTCCCAAATTTTCATATCCATGGCAAATACAATAAAAATAAAAACACAAGTTATCATTACATCTTTAGAATTTGTATTCTCATTGCCAATTTTGAAAAGGCAGTTTTATACTTTTTAAAAAATTAAACATTGGCCACTTCATATGAACCAATCTCTTGGCGAGTTAAGCAAAACATTTGGCGACGACTCCGGTCTCGATAACAGAACAGTACCCCTACACATACATTATATATAATAAATTGGAAAAGTTGATTGCACAGATGATGATCCATACTTAAAGATTTGAAATCATGTAAATGCAGTAAGAAGAAATTATAGCAGATTTAAATATTCATTTTTTATTTTAATTGACATTTAAAGCCACAAATAACTTGATATACAATTCATGCCCCTTCCAAAACATTTACATTTTTATATCTTTGGGGTAAGAAAGGAAGCATCTAGCTAGGCCGAGGGACAGAAGTGAAGTATGCCATCTAATATGGAGGCTTAATTTAACAAAAGATTTTGGTTTGGAAACTTTAAATTCTGAACTAGCTCAGCATTACGTAAAGGATGGAATGGGGAAATATCCAAATTAAAACAGAGATCAAAGGAGCTACTGAAAAATTATAGTATCTACCAAAACCGAGTATTATTAACAATTAACACCTAAAATGAAAAAAAATACAATTAAACTGAAAAATAAGCTTTTTTTTTTTTTTTTTTTTTTTTTTTTTTTTTAGTGCATACCTGAGTTGTTGAACTTGGACAATCATCTTGCATCATAGAACTAGAAACTTCTCCATCTTGTCCATTCTCCTCAGTTGAATTCAAATTCCGCCTTTTGTAGAGCTTAAGTGATAAAAATTTTGCATTGATTGAAAAAAGTACCAAATATAGCTTTGTGATAAATAGAAGTATATGAAGAATTAAAATTCATATCATTAAAATGTTCTTAAGCACGTTTTGAAATTGTAATGAACCCATATTAAGTAAATGAGTAATGCACTTAAAACTAACAAGAAAATATGAAATTCAAAAAAATATTTAAAAAAATCAACATTTCAATACCTCATTTTCTCGTTTCTGCTTTCTTAACTGAACACCTTCTTCTTCTCTTCTTCGACGTAATTCCTGAGCATCTAAGCCTGCATTCTTATATCGAAATCGGTGAGCCGACATTATGATCTAAAATATAATTTTCAGAATTAGGAAGTTATTCATTCAAAAAATATTACATAAATTTAATTAACAAATTATTCTTTTAACTGCATTATTTTTCTATTCATATATAATATAAATCAAATTTTATGTTGAATATTTCAATTAATTTCTATGTTCATGTTTGACAGCTTTTACACCATTGTTTTACAGTGAATATATAGAAAAGTAAGCTGGTTCATTATATGGAAGCGAACAGTTAATAATGGCTTACCATATAAGCTAGTATTAATTGCAAGTTCGAACTCTAAAAGACAACTATCAGGTGATAGCTAAAGTTCCTGCCCGATTTCCATAGATGGCAGATGTTTCTTTAATAATCATTATTATTAACCAACAGTTACCTAAATGCATCATCATAAGTCACATAACCTTAAGAGATTTCAAAATGGTGACTCCACTTTGAACCAGCGTTTCCCAACATGAGGCAATTAGATTGTTAAGGGGAGCAATTCGAAAATGGACAAGAAACACTCAAACTTCCAAATTTTCTTCAAGATGTTGAAATTTCATTTCTTATTCCCAAAAATAAAGAATAATGTAAGCAATGCATGCATATGTAAAAGAGTTTTTAAATTGCCATGCATTTTAAATATTTTATAATAAATTTTCGCTGCAGACACGGACATTTAAATACTTAGAAATTTCTTCCTACACATCATTCAAGTTTCTTTTGTGAACTTTTCAAATTCTGAATATCAAAAATTATATATTTGCTAGGGGGAGCATAAGAATTTTAGAGAGCATTAGGTGGGGCATAGCACAAAAAAAAAAGTTGGAAAATACTGGTTTAAATGATAAACTTTGCTCTGGTTGGCATTTCAACACTGATAATTTATTTTTACCACGATTTAGTGAATAATAATCTCCAGATTATCAATGAACAAATTGCTGAGAGACCAAATGTTGATAATTCAATTGCTTTTTGCCATTTAAAGCATCCTGGATACACTATAAAACTTGATACATGAGTTCTGCACGTTTTGACAAAATGAATCAAACTGATCTGAGTTTCCACAACCATTTCGCTCATCACTTATCAACAGAGTGAACTTTTCTTGAATAAAGTCATAACTGGAGATGGAAAATAAGTTGCGTATACCAACATAATAAGAAAAAGAAGATGGAAACATGGAAGTGAATGAACAGAATCTACAGCAAAGCCTGAACTGCATCCAACACTAGTGTTAGTATCTGGTGGAACTGCAGAGTAATTTTTTTATGTTTTTTCCACATGGGCAAACAATACCAGTGGGGAAGTAAGGTAAACAACTTACCCAACTCAATGTCAAAAACCAAGCAAAAAGTCTAGATTTATCAATCCAAAAGATATCATCTTTAACCATGACAATGCTAGACCACATGTCGCTCAACAGACAATGCTAAGACTCAAAGAGTTAAAAAGGGACAGCCACCACTACTAAAAAATAACACGCTGGCACTGGCATTATTACATCACTAAGTGAATAAAGGAAAATAAACGAAAAATTTTGATGCTTGCACCTAATTAATGCTGTATAAGTTAGAAATGAGACTAATATTAATGCTGTATAAGTAAAAATTTGCTAATAAAAAAATTCTAATTCCCTCCCTCAATATCAACACAACTCGTGCATTAAATGAGCACATTTCCTTTTACATTATCAAATTTAAGAAATTTACTGAAGTTTTAACTGATGAATTATTATAAATTTGGGTACTATTCGGTTTTGAGAGCCATAAAAAATCGCCAAACTATTGTTGATGCCAATGCTGCCAAAAATAATTACGGCAAGAAAGGAAGTATAATAGTAAATAACTATCTAAGATTGATGTTTTAATTTAGATGAAGGTTAATTTCATATAATCTTTTTTTATTATAATTTATTGAAAAAGGCTAAACTGACGAATGGAAGCAAAAGAGTAATAACTATTTCAGATAATTATTATAATTTATATAAATTGCTAGACATAACTGAATGCCTGCATCGCTATTTCGCTACCGACTTATCGCTCTAAAGCATAATTTCATCTCGTTGGTCTTCAAACGCAATTTTCTTAATGAATGATGCCTTTCTTTGAATATTCTCGGTAAAGTGCAGAATCGCTCACTTATTTGTTCGCCGCTTTTTACAAGGTTGCCATTTTTGTGCAGTTCTAGGATTTGTTTTTAAGTGAAAATTGGTCGATGTGCACATGAATACCGAGTATGTGCAGTTCTTAAAAACACGTCAAGCAGTGGATGATTCTGCACTTTACCCAAAAATTCTATTGCTGACTTTTCGTCATGGGGAATTCCCAAATTGTTAAATCCATAGGATATCAAAAAAAAATATAATAAATAAATAAATAATAAAAATAAATCAAAAAGGATTTAAAAACTAAACTAGTATTTCAATGGCGTCTTAAGAAATATAGAACTATATAAATTTACACAATCTGAAATCGGCGCATACTCTAGATTTGGCACGCTGTTAAATGGGTGCGTTTGCTAGATTTGGCGCTTTTGTGCATACATTTTCGCTGCAATTTTTTGACGGTCCTCAAAACAGAATAGTACCTAAATTTGTTTTTAAATTTAAGATTGCTTTTGGCTAATAAGTAATTCATATTTTTAGCAACACATGTACTTGATTAGTAAATTTATAGCATAACAAATATTACATGATCCATAAAAATATTTACTGAAACAAGCTGACACTTTGTTTCCATCCAAACATTACTTATTTCAAATATTGCAGTTTTTCAACATGATTAATAAGTAGATTTAATAAATGTAATATAATTTATGCAGTTTTGAACTTTGGATAATAATTTAAAAAACATGGCATAATTAGGTCAATCAAGACTATCTAATTATGCCCTAAAAAAGTATTGCAAAATTATTTTTAAAAATTTTAGATGTTTCAAAATCATCCACAATTTGTACTGCTTCTTAAAACATTTGGTACTTTTCCGTTTTGCCGGCGCAAACGCTAAAGTCGCAAATAATGGTACAACTGATGCCAAACGGAATATCTTCGCTGGTAACCTTTTACACCTCAGTCCAAAACAAGTCGCAGCCATTTTTTTATCGATTGATTGTTTCTTTCAATATTGGCATACTATTACATAGAAATTTACAATAGGAATTATCCAATAAGACAATTTGCGGTAATTAAGGCAATTAGAATGCAATCACACGCTCACGACCGCGGAAATATAGAAAAGGCAAAATCAAAGGTTAAATTCATCCATTCTAATGAGAATGCACTAGCGGTAAGCACTGCAGTTTACATAATTTATGAGTAGCTATTCGTACGAATTAAAATAATTCTTGCATTAAACTTATATTCCAAATTAGATTTAACTGAATTAAGTAGATATTACTAAGAGATTAGATTTTGGTAGCATAGTTTACATGAGATCCTTGGGTCACGTGATAAGAACCGGCAAATCAGGTTTTGAACCATGAAACTAGCAATTCTTAAATTAATGTCTTTTTACAATTTATGTCTTTATTTATTGGCTTTACAAATTTTTAAACCCTAATAAATGTTTATGCCTTCAAAATAAAAATTCTTAAAATTAACATTTGTTAACATTTTTTACGTGTATACTGTATGTTGTCGCCAACAAAGTCTGCTTAGTGAGATTTGCACCGGCAAAACGGAAAAGTACCCAACATTTATATGCATAGGAACAAACAGAATATAAAATAGTGAAAAAAATATGTGATGAATAACGAATACATTCCTTTCTGAAAATATGATTTGAAAGTTGGCTTACAATAATGCTAGAGTTTTCTGCTTATTACCGTCATCATTAGTAAAAGGTTTAAATACAAAAATAGCTGTTTGTGTAGCATTTAAAAACAAATTTTCATTTTGCGCTTTAGAAATATTTAATGAAGTATCTAAACTATTTATATCATTTATTATTTTCGGAAAAAATTGCTTTAGATTTTGTTACTATTACTTTACGTTACGATACTACAGAAGCTTTGATAATCGGTGCAGAGCGAGTATCAATAACACACAGAGGAAAAAAAAAAAGAAGGGGTATCTTCTTTGAAAATTTCCCAGATTTTATGCAAGAAAGAAACTGAAAATTCGTAAAAAGCATTTTTTCCTATCGTAAATTGTTTTACTGGTAAGACTTGCAGCAAATTCAAACTGTATATTGTTTCTATCAATTCTGTCTCAGCTCTCATCAGCAGTTTCTCTAAAAGGTTAAGATTTATATGACAAATATTTTGAGCAGACAGGCCAGCTGTTAAAATAAAGCATCCTTTCAAAGGTTTGGATAAACTAAATTTATTTTTGTAAAAGTTCATTTTTTCTCATCAAAATGTTTGATTACTCTTGGAAAGTCTGGTTCAAAGTAATATTTTTTCCCAAACTAAAGAGAAAACAAATTCAGTAACAACTACCACTAAGATCAAAAGGAAATCTTACAAAAAGATTCAGTGTAAACGAAAATGCAATTTTCATGCAAGGTGTTAGGTTTTCATTCAGGAATAAATTTTTGGAATTAGATTCATTCAGGAATAAATTTAACAAAAGCATTTTAAATTTAAATGCTTTTTTGCAGATAACTGTTATTTATTAGCACATAATTAGGTTACAGTAGACTGAATGTACCCCTTGTATTATCGTGAAGTTGTTGTTTCATTTATCGCCAAGTTTACAATGCCAACTTTGTACAATTCTCTAAATTCTTTTAAGTGAAAATAGGTCAACGTGTACATGGATAAAGTCAAGGGAGTATGCAATGCCCAGTTTGAGCAATTCTGTGATTTTTTTTTAAGTAAAAAATAGGTCAATGTGTACATGGATAGAGTTTGTGCAATTTTTTGACTTGATATTTTGTCTTTGTGGTTACACAAAGCCAAAATAACAAGTCGAAGAATTGCGCAAACTTGGTATCCATGTACCACCAAAAATCGCCAAGGGGTACCAGTAAATATACTTTTACCCATAATTAATTTCAGACTTTACTGAATTAACAATATCATAGAAGTTTAATAATATCAACTTATTAAAAATACGCAAATTAGAGTATCTTTTTCAATTAAAAATTTATAAAGAGTAAAAAGCTGATTTTTTTTTATATAAAAGATCTTGCATAGCTTAGAATGCTTTGATGAATCAAAATTCTGATAGAGAACAGTGCGCAAACATTTCTTGTACATAAAATCAGATTTTGGAAACGAAAAAATGTCCACTTTTCAGTAATTTAGTTAGTTTTCTGTTCCAATTATGCCCACAAGTATAAACCATTCTTAGCAGAAAGCATGCAGTATATAAATATGCTACAACTACAAGCTTGCTGTACCACGAGGTAGGTTTGTTATGCGTACTAGTTCCCTCGCACTTAAAGCCACTCGGAAGAGAATGGATGCTTTGTTCTTTTGGCGTTGATGCTACCATCTAACGTATTCCCCTTCAAATTTTTATTTGTTTCATTCTCTATAAAATAACCTGAGTGGCTTAAAAATTGATTCTGTGGGAAAAGTCAAAATTTACCTCATGACTTTCTCTGATTAAAAACTATACGGTTTCAACACAGAAGGAATTTAAAAACTTGTAAACTGTTAGGACAGTTAAGACAGAGAGTATGTTACTATTTAATAAATACTATTTTTCATGAAAATGTGTTGTATTTAATTTGGTTGTAAATCGGGCATGAATTTTTGCAATCACACAATAAATAGTATTTAAGATGACTGCTTTCTGGAAATCCAAATGTCACAAATCTCCAGACGGTAATCATCAAAGAATAAATACTTAATTCTGCAAAATTACTCTTTAAAATTTCACAACTAGATTATTTAATTGAGGCAAAACATACAACAGTTATCTGCACTGTAAATCCATGTCAATTTTAACTGAGGCGTATTGGGTGAAGGAAAGTAAAAAATCTCGCATCTCTTTCTCCTTTTCACCAAGTTTTACAAGGGAGAAAAGACTGAAAACAGTTTTAAATAAAGTAAAAAAATTAAGAATTTTATTTACTGATAAGAAACTCCACTTTTGTACTATACAAATATTTATGTATTGTATAATATATGTACATATATGGTGAGAAATATGAATATATTTTAAATAGTCAATTTGAACAACTTTATACCAGCTAACAGTTTTGTACTTTGAATGAACAGTAGAGTACCTAGTTTCTATCAAAACAATTTTTTTCAAAAATATAAAAATATGACAGATGACTTGAAAAGTGTATTTATAATAAATAGCAACTATGTTTTAACTGATTCAAAGGTAATTATAAAAATATTAATATCAAAAAGTCATTTCAAATAAGCACATTTACTTTTTGAAGTGTGTGTTTCAACTGGCTATACCCAAAACACATTCTCCTTCTGAAGTTTGTTTTTCAACTAGTTATACCATTTGAATAGATTAATAAAAATTTGCTGCTCAATACTGACACCACCTTTAACAGATTCACATATTATCCAAAAATTTTTACTTCATTTAGAAATTAAAATGTTTATTAGTTTAATATTCTTAGATTGAGAAATAAAATACATGAGTGAGGAGGATCTTATACAAGGATACAGTAATTCACACAGGCAAACCACAAAAACTTAAATCAGAAAACAGGGGAATGCAAACATAAAAGAAACTGCTTCAAAAATACTTTTCAAAAACTGAAGGTATGGTTTGTCATTACTTTTTATGGCATCATAATCGCTCAACACTGCACGATCGACAAATAAATATTCATATAGATCGAATGAATTAGAATCTTCTGTATCAGTGCAAGTTTAAAAATTCATTTATTAAAGCATGAGAAATAATGAATATTAAGATTATATAAGCAAAATATACATTTAATGAAATTTATATAAATCTTTCTTGACACACAAGGATATAACTCGAGGTACATTATTTCAGACAGAGGCTATTTCGCGATTTTTGCACTGTACGCATTTTGTAATATGTATCATGAGAAAATGAATATTGATGAAATCTAAACTAATATAAAATAACATGAGTTTAATTCTAAAGTATATAAGCAATCAGTCAAAAAATGTAATATCACTCACAGCAATCGTGAGTCATTAATTTTGACACGTGAGGATACATCAGCTAAATACCTGATTTTATTTTATATAAAATGACGTAGTATGTAATGTGAATACGCAGAAATAAACTCCTTATTTACCATAAGAGAATACAGAAGAAAAAAAGTTGAAAATTAAGGAGTATTAAAATTTATACGCACCTTATTTAGAAAGTTAAAGCCGATGAAAGCGAAAACGCATTACCAACGATTGTATGTTGCGTGAATTAGAATGATTAGAACTCAAATAAATGTCAACAGAATCACAAAGCAACTCAAAATTTAGCTGTTATAACTTACCGTTCTTCCCAATTATAATAAATATTTGTACGACGTGATTACCACTAGCAAAGTGCTATAGGTAACCCTAAAACAGGACCGGTGATTATAGATATGAAAGCATAATATCATTCATATTAAGAAAAATAATATTTTTTATTTCACTTAAATATGACAAACATTTTTAGTGTACTAAATAAGCATTAACTTTTCTCACAACAAATAATTAAAATTCTTTGTGAAAAATAGTAGTACAGCACACGTTAAAATGGCGGCGCCCAGGATTGACATGACATGTGATGATATTTCTGCATTTCAAGTGAGTTGCACGAGTTTTTTTTTGGTGTTATTTTACAAACATGATACATGACGCATTATGGTTGAAATGTCTTAATTAAGTATTTTGGAAATTCATTACAAAAAAATTATATCTTTCTATAGAATGCAGTTTAGCTCAAATTGTTACGGGCTGTTTATTGATTAATATTTATGCGATAATATAAATGAAATTTTAGTTGCAGCTTTTGTTGAGCCATTTCAGGAATTATTCTTGAAAGTATGCATTAAAGCAGAGAATTTTTTTTAGAATGCAATTCACTCTTTTTGATGTTATTGTTTTGTTACATAATTCAAAATCAAAATTTTAGTTTACGATCTCGCTCACATTTTAACGTATTTATTATTCTTTAAAACTTCTTTGGGAATAAAGATTAATGCAGGTAATTGCAAAAAAATGTTTGGACCATTACTTTAATTTTAAAGACTGATATTTATTATGCTCAAAATTTTTGAGTATTCCTTTTCAAAAAATGGTAATTCTTCTTTCTGTTACTTTTCTCTACGGCAGTTCTAGCTCCCTTACTTTTCTCAGTATCTCATGCTTTATGTACCCCTTGAAGATATGTGTGTATCTTACATACCTGTTGGATAATTAAAAAAATAATAATAGTGTAACAGGGAAAATTACATAAAATACATGTAAATATCCTTTGTTCCGTATCTGAATATGATAAATAAGGAATAAATACTATTAACATATAGAACTTCTAATATTCAATATCTAGTAAAAAGGATTGGCAATTATGCATAAATATAAATTATAGTACTCTAAATTAATAAATACTGGTGTTGCCAGCGTACAAACTTTCTTATAATACATGTAAACAAACTCAAGAAGACCAGATATTGCAGGAAATGAATGGATCTACTTAAATTCCATAATTTCTAGACGTTGTATTTTAGAAATCGCATTGTAAAGTATGTTTATTAGTCTATTTAATTATGGCAAAGCACACGAGGGCTGTCTCCCTAAAGTCAGGGATGCCTTCCTGTAGGACTTTCTAAGGGAAAGTGACCCATATACTGTAAGGGAAAACGCACATACGTACCTGTTTGTGGGGATTTGAACCTCGGACCAAATTACTAATGCTCAGTCACTTTACTACTCTGCTGCTTGTGTGTAGGGGGGGACAACGATAAAATATGAGTATTATTCAGAAGGAAAAAAATTAACAGAAAAAGAAATTTAAAGCTACAGTAGTTCACTTTTTAATTTTTATTTAATAATTTAATCATGTACTTGTCAATCATTTGATGACCTAGAGGAAAAAGATCTCGTATTAAGCAAGATTGATTACTTTCAGAGATTGCCGCAACAGTGTTCGCTACATAACAAAAGAGCAAAATGAGGAAATATTGAAGCATATCTAGTAACATTTCTGTAAGAACCATGAACTGTTCCAGATGATTTTGGATATCTATGAACGAAATTCTGTTTCTCCTGCTATTAGAGGGTTCTTTGCCAAAACGTATTCACTGGAACTGAAGTCCCAGCGGTTAATCTTTGGATTATGGTAACTTGGTGAAAATTTGGCAACCGACCCTGCTACAGCACCTTGCTAGTTTTTGTTTGGTCGCCATTTTGTTTTCATAAAGTAAAAGCATGTTTTTTTTTTTTTTTTAATCAACATTTTTTTTCAACAATCTGCTAGCAGAATTACGCTTATGCTAGAACTTTTATGGTACAAAAGTGCTTAATCATGACGAAGATTAAATGCGAAATTGGGAGAAAGTGCAGAATCGCACACTGCTTGCCACGTTTTTAAGAATTGCACATACACGGTATCCATGTATGCGTCGACCTATTTTCACTTTAAAAAAATCATCCCAGAATTGCACAAAAATGGCATTGCGCACACTCTTGACTTTATCTATGTACACTGCTAAAGTCCAGCTAATAACCTTTATCACCTTACCAAAATGTCACCAAACTACCTGTTACCATATTCCAAAGATTAGCCATCCCAGCTATCTGCATGAGACATTTTGCAGTTGAGATGAAAATGCTTTGTTTAAAACCTGTGCCCCTAGTATTTTTCCCTAAAGCACTGGTTCTCACTTAAACTAACCAGCAAATATCTCAAAAGCAAACATTCATAAAAATGCTTGTTTTGATGAGATAGTGAGGGTAGGTAATGATGTGATATCGTTTTTTTTAAAAAAATCATGTTCAATAGCAGTGCTTGTGTGCCTCTAAATATTGTTATTTTTATAACTGGTCATTTATGGTAGTTGATTCCCACAGTCAAATCTGTGGTATAAATTTCTTATTTTTTCGTATTCTTTAGTAAACCTTTCATTTACACACCAGTCAATTAATGCTTTTTCCTTTTATTCCAAATCATACAGAAACTTCAAATTAATCATACAATATTCAGCCATTTTACTGTGTAAACCACAAAATAACAACGTACTTCGGTAAAAGTATAGTTTAAAGTACCCCTTGGCGGTACATGGATACCGATTTTGTGCAATTCTTTTACTCGTTATAACAAAAAAATCCCTGAATTGCACAAAAATGGCATTGCGTACTCCTTTGGCTTTATCCATGTACATGTCGACCTATTTGCACTTAAAAAAAAAATCCCAGAATTGCACAAACTTGCATTGCGCATTCCCTTTACTTTGTCCTGTACACATCGCTATATTTCACTTAAAAAGTCCAAGATGCACAAATTCTAAATATAGGCAAACAAAAAAATACATAATTCAATAAAATACTTTTAAACAAACAATAAGATAAATACAAAGAAACAAGATATATTTACGCTATAAAAAAATATTCCGACATGATTTTGAATTCGCTTCGTACACCCAGAGCCACGAAAAAATCAAAATATCAATCTACTCAAAGACTTTTGAAACCGGTACTCTTTCTGATCGAACGCTCACATGTGACCATCTGAACCTTTCTCCTACAACCCTTCAAATCCATCTAAACGTTTTAGTTCGACTAGACGCATCCTTCTACATAGGACAACTTAATATTGGCTACTAATACCCTTCTTACACACAGTCAATTAAAGCTCTTTTCCCTTTCGCTCAAATCGTACTAATTAAATTATCTTACTACATTGGGGTCTCTACCGTCTAAAGAATCAAACACACACACACAAAACGCTTACGAAACATCCCATGTTCAAATTTCCAGCATCAGGCACTGATAGTCACAATAGGGTTTCTATAACTTCAACTGCTCAGGCTACCTAAAGGAAACAACAACTTGGCGAAAATCAAACACACTTCGCCATAATACAAGGTACCTAAGTCTACTACCCTGTATTCTTATCTAATCTGACCCTAATTCAAATTCACTGCGATCACTCAACCAATTACATCATAATAGGGTTTCCATAGCATTCAACTACTCAGGTTATCATAAATGAAACAACAATTTGGTAATAATCCAAGGGGCACCCTTCAATCTACTCTAATGAAATTTGTGGACGTATTAGAGTCTAGTTAAGAGAAAAAATACATATATATTTTTATTGAAGATACAAAAAGTTGCAAAAACACAATGTCAGTCAAAACATTGCTTTTGGACACGTGGAAATCTTCAGAACATTTTCTATACAAAGACACATAACATTTATTATAAGCAAATTCATTTCATTGCCACGGTATTTGAATCTTTTGATTTTGTTTGTTGAACTTTTCTTGATAATGACGATCTGTTCTCACATTGCTTGAGGCTAAATTCTGAACGACATATTGTAGACCATACAACCAGCATATGAAGATGAGGCTGCAGATTTTCAGAAATTCTTCCCTTGTTTTCAGCAATCCCAGCAGTTCCTTGAAAATCTAACAGGGAAATTTCGGAGCTCTACAGAAATATAAAGTTTCCATGCATATGATTTAGATACATTACTAAAATTCATAAAAAAAGTTGCCAATTTCTTACTTTTTATTTGCACTCTATATACATTGCAATAAAATCCTCCAGAAGATCCACGCCATCCATATATTTGTTGTAATTTGCACAAATGGAGTTTAGATTTCTTTACAGGTACAGATGTTCTTTTCTTGAGTACCTCTTGGTTGCCGAAGGCAGATAAATTGTTTCCAAGTTAGTTGTCATAGCTATGATACAATTATAATTCCATCAAATTACTGTGATGCTATGCTTTTCATGAAATGTTGTGTCATATGTCCCATGTCTTTTTTCTGTTTTTTTTACTGGTATAATAGGCCAATTTCCTAATCAATAATCAAAAATTGCTTCAGCCACATAAAATTTTGATCTCATTCAATTCCAATAACAACATGTATGACGTAAAATATTGTTGAAATATAGGAAATTATTCCAGCACACTTAAAATATCTGTTATAACGTCTCTGCCTAGTGCAAGATCAGGCAATGTCTTTGAAAATTTTTCTGAATGTATATATTAAAATGATGTAAGTACTATTCATAGAAACAGAAACACCAAACTTTGTACTCAAAACGAACGGATTTTCTTTTGAGAAACATTTTGCATGAATGTCTTCCAATATAGAAATAAAAAAAAATTTTAAAAAAAAAAAAAATCTATTAGTCTTACAATAATTTTGATATTTGTCAAAGGAAAATAAGTGTAAATATATAAAAAGGAACTAAATTAATCAGTTGTATAAGACATGTTTTAGATGAGAGTTTTTATCATGGTTTTGATATTGGAGGGTCAGTTGTTATATAATTAGTAAATTATGATTATATGAAAATCATTACATTTGAAATGTGTTTTTTTTTATTATTATTATTAGTTCTGCTTGTATATTTGATGAATGCAATATATAAAATTTAGCAAAAAGTTATTGAGAGTTGCTTGGTTTTATTGTCTTGACATCCTTATTCTGCTCCTGCCTGTGGTTTGAGAACACTAGTACCAGAGTGCTGTTATCATTATACAAGCTGTAATATATTCAGAAGAACTGCATGGTTTTAGCTTGCTTTGAATTATTACATGGGCATTCTATAAAACCAAAACCTGCTTAGCTGCCGGTATGTCTCTGACTGAATTTCAGTATGATTACACTATTGGAATTTTGGCTTGGTTAATGAGCTGATACCAAACATAAAAGTTGCTTATCAAAGTGTAATAAGGGTACTCAATAGGTTGTTTTTCATTCTCGACTGTTTTCTTTTCTTTTGTTACTGAATGAGAATAACTGTGATCTTAATTATATGAATACCGTTTTAGTTTCTTCTCTTTTATTTAACTGAGATTGTAATATATGTTGGTTTTCCTTTGGTTATGCAAATAAATAATTTCTTACTATAGTTAAATAATACCATTACTGTAAGTTATTTAATTAAATGCTATAAAGTACTTTTAAATTTTTTTTAGGAAACTTTAAGAATAATGAGGAAGATTGATGATAATATTGTACATGCTCTCAATACTACCATACCAACTGCATCATTTGCAGAAAAAGCTAGTGTTACTAATCAATGTGAAGATCTCTATAAACAGGTATATATTTTGAAAAAGTGTTAAAAAATTATTTTACTTTTTAAAAATATTGAGCTGGAGAAATATTAAAAATAAGAAAGAGATAACAGCATGGGCATTGAAAGGAAAAGCAAAGGTAATTAATGTTTATGGAATACTTTTCATTAACAGAAGCTGCGTTTTCTTGCATATGCTGCATACCGAGGTTTTCTTTAACTCTGTTATGATCTAAATATCTGAGATGGCTTGTCACCTTAAGCAATCAAGAAATGACTAGCCACCTGAGTTCATTATAACTGTTTTCTACCCTCTTCCAAAAAGATGCAGATCTGTGAAAAATAATGGATCATAACTTTGTAAGAGTTGGCTATCCCTTATCTGTCCTATAGACAAATACTTGTCTATAGGACAGTACAAACAGAATGTACTTTCACAAATTTCTCTGTGAAAAACTAGGAAAAGAGAAAAAAGCAGTTGCAGTCGTGCATGAAATTCCAATTTTTATAATATTTTGACTACAGCATAATAAAATCCTTGCTATTTAAAAAGTTAAGCACTGCATTTGCTGCTAAAGATAATCTTTATATTTGTTACAAAATGGGAAAAGAAAGAGATGTTTTTGTTGGACTTCATTCACCTGTAAGCATCCTTAATTCAGTGGTTTCAGCTAACAAAAATTAGCAATTTTTCAATATTCGACCGTATTTAAAATGGTAAGATTATTCATATTTTATTACCTTTAGTATAAGACACTTTTTCTAATTTCTTCGTGAATCCATAACTATTTAAATTTGTGAGAACAGTATTAATATATATCCGAATGCTTTTAAAGAACTTTTTCATGGAATAATGTGATTATTGGTTTCATTTTGTATCTGAAATTTTTATTTTGATTGCTTGTCTGCTTCTGTATTATGCTGGTGTATTTTTGCATTATAATTTTTTTACTTCAATAAATTTTGTCTATCTTTCAGTTAATTCATTCATATGAAAGACGAGAGCACGCCATCAAAAAGTGCATAGATGTAACTGCAAAAGAAGTACAAACTTTAAAGGACAAACGAAGTAGTGATCCTGATAATTTTGAACTCCTTAAACAGCTTCGGAAAGTTCAGACAAAGGTAACTTTAACTGACTGAAAAAAAAATTATTTTATCCTGTTTTGATCAGTGTTTAAATTTTCTCAAAATGTTCTTATTTAACCCTGCAATGGAGGAGCAGGCGTACAGAGTACGCCAATGCCATCTTTTGGGCTGTAATTTTTAAACAACGCCTTCCTGAGCTTCCTCCCTTCCTCTACCCTCCTAGAAACATTCCATGAGTGCAACGCATCTGCTATTTCTGTTCAGTCTGGTTTTCGCCTTCTTTCCGAAAGCAGTTATTGTAAACATGTCACGTAGGCGAACGCAGTGCGCCACTCCTCCAAGTATGTACAAAAAGAATATTGTACCTCCTGAAGATTATTTGCGCGTTTCAGAAAAAGTCTAGATTGATGAAGACTCCGACAATTTGGATAACACATCTGATATCAATGAATCGGAAGTCATTGAACATTCTGATCATGAAAGTTACTTGGAAATCGAGGGAAATGTTTCTAATTAACCTCATTTTCTTTCCTCAAATGATGTTTCCCCAACAAATGACGATTTTAGTGATGTTGAAAGTGACGTAAGTGATTTAAAATATGAGGCCTTTTTTGTAAAAACAATTTTTAAAAAGAAGAAAATTGGAAGAAAGTTTCTGAAAGAAGAAAAGGAAACTTATATGTGGAATAAAGTTTCCCTCAAGAGCAAATTCACCAGAACGCCTCAAAAAAATTTGATGAAAAAAATATTCCCAAGTGCCAAAACTTGTGACGATATAAATGATGAGCTTTCTGCTTTCCAGAAAACCATAAATACAAATATGATTGATGCTATTGTACAATATACAAATAGTTATCTCAAATGTAACAAGACTGCAGATGATCTCTAAAACATCTCGAAGAGAAGCATGTGTGATACTAATGGAGCAGAAATATTGACCTTTTTAGGAATTTTATTCTTATTAGGGTGCAAAAAAATGTCAAAACTCAGTTTGGAGAAAGCACGGGCAAAAGACGGTACTGGAATTGAAATTTTGCAAGGGGTCTTAAACGATTCTCAAACCTGAATCACTTGAGGTTTGATTCTCAAACCTCAATGGGTCTCAAGGGATTCCGAAACCTGTGTACTGCTATTAGATTTGGCGATACAAGGTACAAGGTATGTGCGAAGAAAAACTGATAAGCTTGCTGCACTAAGAGAATTTTTTGAATCTTTCAATCAGAACTGTCAAAACTTTTATACACCAGGTTATGTTTATTTTCCTCTTTAGGAATATAAGCACTTTTCAGATATGAGCAATAATAACTTAACTCTGTATGCTATAGTTGTACAACTACATATTAAATTTGATTGCTTAGCTGTTTCATGTACTATTACAAATTTATTTTGCAATGTGAACAATACTCTGATGTGATACTCTTTTTCAAAGCTTTACCTAACATACTGAATGGTTTAGATGCATATTTGCTATATTTGTTTCAAAATAATGATCTTATTTTCATTTTTATTATGTTTTTGGTACTTCATTGCAACGCATAGAAGTATTTTGTTATTCACTTTTAATTTTTTTATAATTTCATTCTGCTTAATCAAGAAAATTATTCCAATTAATTCTGAAAAGTAAGGGATATTAAAAGCTGAATTTCAGTGGGAACCCTAAATAAATTAAAAGGAGACTGGGAAAATATTTTCATAGAAATTGAGTTTAATTTTCAGTTTTTATTAAAGAACAAGTGCAGAAAATTAAGGAAGAAGGTCATTAAACTGATCTGGAATTAAAATAATGAACAATATATTTTAAGGGTAAACTTACATTTGGAAAGCTAGATAAAGTAATGTTTTTAATATTCTGTTTTTTAATGTTAATTCATAATAATATGAAAAAAAGTCTCCCATTCCTTTTTCAATGGAAAAATTAGTCTTTTACATTAAATTCATATTAAAGTTAGCTGGTGTTTTGTTAATGTAATGAAAATTAAATTTCTAAAATAATGTTAACATTTTATAAATCGTAACTTTTCCCTCATATGTTTAGGTGTTTTTAGTACAAGTGCATCAAAAATTTTGTGCTTGAACCATAAGATTCCATAAATCATAAATAAATATACTAAAACCTTAAAAGAAGGTAATTTTTCTTCAATCTTTATATATGTCAAAAGAACTAATGCTGTGTGCTCATACATATTGAGGGCATACCAGTGGCCAAGCAGTAAAATCACTGAACACTGGTACGTCGGTTCGAGGTTCAAATCTCTTGAACCAGCTGATTGCATGTGCGTTTTGGTAATTTTCCCTATGCATATGAGCCAGTTTCCCTTAGAAAGTCCTCCATGAAGACATCTCTGCCCTTAGGCAGATACCCGTCAAAGCTTTGCCATAATCACATAAACCCAACCAAACTTGTACATATTGTCCTTCTTAGTTATTAGCTCCCCAATTTTATTTGCATTTCATATTAAATACTTTTACAATACAATATACTTGCTATATTTTTTCTCCTGTTTAATATACAGTTAAGTGCCATTGCCTATAGCACTGCTGCTGTTTTAGCCTTGATAATGGCTACCAAAAAATGAGGCATGGATTCAACGCATCTGCAAAAGTGTTCCAAAGGTATGGTCTGCTAAACAACTTCGAGAATTTCCTATAAATGAGTCAAGGACACTGATGATAGATGAAATGCTTACACGCTCTTTCTGATTATTTCAGACATGTTCAGTGGAATTTAAGTGTGATTTAAAGCAGGAGAATTAAATAGAATGCTGGCTTGAACCAGATGGTTGCCAACAGGAAGCTATGAGAGAAGCACTTATCCTACTGGTACACCCATTTCCATTCAGATGTTATAAAAGCACAAATGGATGTAAGTGACTGTGCAACAGATCTATATACAAATTTATGTAGGTGGTGTATTTGATACAATTATCGAAAGTCCCAAACATTGTCAAGAGAAATTTCCTCGGACAATTTGCTTGAGCCATCATGACTTTGAACAGTTCCAACTTGGCATGGTGAATCCCTGGTTTCATGGGGCTAGCACCAGATTCCTTATCTACTTTCAGTATGTTACATATGGAATTGAGACTCATCACATGATGGGTTTGCTTCCATATTTGATGTCCAGTCTTAGTGTTCTATCACCCATGCAAGACATTGGCATAGTGACATGCAATGAGAAGTGGTACTCCTGTAAGGTTTCAGCTTCTGAAGCCCATGTGGTGAAATGAGTAGTGCACCATTAAGCTTTAAGATGTCCAACTGTTGATCTTCATGTCAACTAAAGTTTGGTCTTGCTGCCTACATAGAATGTGACAATCTTTGCAGATCACAATTGTTTCTCACTACCTATTCCCTGAAAATCACCCAATTACTTTTTCTTTTCCCACTGTCTCTGTAGTCTTCCCATACACTTGATTCTGTAGAATGAGAAAATATCAGTTCTCAAGCTATTTCTAAAATTGAATGACCTATGCATTTAGCCACTTCAATTTGTCCTTGACTGAAGAGGTCTGAATCACAAAATTTTTTAACAGTAGGTAAAAGAAACCTACACTTTCAGCTATATATACATGTAATAGTACATGTAGCTATATATACGTGTAATCTTTTTCGAGGTCAAGTGTATAAAGATAAAAATAACCAATCCTATGCTGGCATCCTCTCATGCTCAGCATAAGGCAGGAGTTCCAAAATATTTTCCTTAACCACTTGCCTGTTTGCCCGTGCACTGTATGGCTGCTGCTTTGAGACCAGAAATCTCATTCCTCTGTTGCTTTTACTGTTTTGCCTGTATCTTTTTTGTTTTAAATATCAAATTAGTCATACGTCTGTAGTAGTTTGTAAAGTCTATTTTATTCTATTCTGATTGGTTCAAAAGCATGAACGTTTCCACATTATTTGCCTGACTGTGTGAATTTTTATCTTTCACTGTTTAACTTTTTGCTTGTATTTTACTGTTCATTTGATAACCTTATTGATACAAGTAATGGCTGATTTAGAATTTATGTATCTAATTTTTTGCAATTCAGACTGAAACATTATCAGAATCTGAAATTTCAGTAAATTAGTAGATGACTTTAATACTAGTATAAAAAATGGCAAGGTAAAGATATGAATTTACTATTTTGATTTGATATTATTGTTTGTCTAACTGAAAGGTGTACTACAGTATTAAGGGAAAGTTGTTCCCAGATGTTTATCAGCTTTACTAAGACTAGCAGAAAGACATTCTGGAGAAATTTTACCTACGGGGGGGGGGGGACTTAAGACTTACAAGATGGTACGAAGAATGTTCACTGAAGTAAAATTACAACAGCAAAAGCATTGGAAAAGAGTATATTTTTATCTGAACTGTCCTCTTGCCTTGTTTTAAGATATATCACACTAAATCAGATCTTTTAAGGGGGAGGGAAACTAAGTAAATGTAATTTTAGCAATTATACAGTAACATAATTGTAAAATAATTGTATTTTTTGTATACATGACCATAAATGTAACTTCCCCATCAGGCACACATGGAGGAAGGAAAGACAACTTCTCAAGGAAATATTATTTTATTTACAGTAAAAATGTTGTTATAAATGCTTAAAAATATTACAAAAGTTAATTTTAATAACATTTTCCTACTTACAAATGTGAAAGGAACAAAATATGACATTGATCAAATTCAAAGAAGAAATTAAACTGTTAAGTAATTAATGTTGTATGTCTCCTAATTCAGTGGTGCTGCAGTGTATTACTTTAATTTTGCAGTTTATTACATAACGTTATCTTTTTTTTCCCCCCCAGTTTCGATTGATGCAAAATGAATTAAATATAGAAGAAGTCGTTAAAGATCGCAGTTTAAAGGTAACCATCTCTTTATATGTTTAAAATTGTTAATCTGTTAAAAAAAATTAATATTTTTTTATCAAGCAAGTTAACCCTTTGGGTACATTTGATGAGTGAGACTCATCATCTGCTTGCTTGGGCAAAGTTACATTGGACGAGTCTGCCTCGTCCACCGTAATCAGTGTTGTAGCTAAAATGCTGTTTCAAAAATGTATTTATATCACCAATATAAGTATATTCCAAATAAAATATATTACTTTTATCTATTAATTCATATAGCTACAAATTAAATCCGTCCCATGGGCTTAATGTATTACTTAAATCTTCAAATAATTCAGTACTCAAAGGGTTAAGCCATTGCAGTTTTATCATATATATAGTTTGATCCCTGTCATAAATGCTAATGTTACCATTACTTATATCTAAAACTCCTATTTAAAAAAAAGGGGGGATTTAAATGCTAACACATTTTGAACATGTAATGATATCTGAATGGAAGTTTCATCCTGACATGTTTTGAACATGACCTCTCTAATCTACTCACTTTCTCGGTTGCTGAGCACTTTTTAGGAAAGTTAAATAAACATGTATGTATGTATCGTTTTAAAGCATTATACTTTTATTAAATAAACTTTTCTTATAATATTTTACAAAGTTATTTATTAACATGCGTAGTATTTTTTACATATGTGATGTTTTATAAAATATCACCCTCGTGAAGTGGATCCTGCTAAAATTGGCTTGTATATTTTCTTTTACTGACAGTCTTCTGATTCATTATCACTTCCTATATCAGATAACTTATTTGCTGAATTTCCTCACATATTTCTGCATCTTTCACAGGAAACACTTTCATTCTTCCCATTTTAAAGACTACGAAATTACTTTAAAATACTACCTAAAAAGCAAAACTGTGCAATTGAATCAGCAGACAGATAGTACTATAATTAATGCTATAAAAAAAAGTGCACATAAAATGAAAAACTAATGCAATGTACTGAAAATTCAAGCAAAAATGTAAATCTACAAGGCCTGTCCTTGGAGGTCACAATGGAAAAATGTAAATTTACATGACCCGTCTGTTAAGTGTTCATGATAGCAGTCTTAACTAATTTGCTAAAATTAATACAAATTTATCATAGAATCTAATTTTTCATATTTTCCAGTTCCCCCCCCCCTCATTTTTACTTACTGCTTAAATGTAACTTTTGAGCTGCAAATGACTAAAGAATGTAGATTTAACAGTTTGGTCTGAGGTTTAAATCTTGCAAACGGGCTGGCTGCCTGGACATTTTCATGGTGTTCTGCATGAGAAAAGGCTGCAAATTTTTAGACTATTCTTTCCTTGTTTTCAGCAATCCCTGTGCAACGCTTTTTTGAAAATCTTACAGAGAAACTTTGGGGTCTATAGCAGTCTTATAAAGTTTCCATACATTTTATTTAGCTACTTAAATAAAATTCGTAAAAATAGGGCCACCATCATTTATTATTTTTCACTTGCATTTTATACACATCACGATAGAATTGTCCAGAACGTCCACGCCTTCCATATATTTGTATTTATAATTTCCAATGAGTATATAGCCCCGTTCACATGCAACGCTCCTTCCCACAGCTGCCGTTAGCAAGAGGAGAAAAAGGAGACATGAAAGAGTTTCGTTTTTAGGACCCGTTCATTCCCTTTACACCTAAGCCTCTGTGAACAATCATGTCTCCGAATTGGCCGATTTCTAGTACTGTTTACATATTTTTAACATTGTTTACTGTTCTTAATTTTGTAATCTGTACTTTCGCAACTGGTACCTGAACTTTCATAATGGTTCCTGAAAAATATATGCCTTTTTAATTATTATTATTTTATATGCTGATATTTAGTTCAATCCTGGTGCTTGTCGCTATGGTTAAAAGATGGTCATGGATTTTTAAACTGCTTCCCGATAAGATATAGAACTCAAACTTTGTACATACACTGCTTGTGGATGTGGTGTCACGCTTTTGATTTTTAGAGGATTAGAGTTTTTTCAAATTTAAAGTTGAAACGATTTTTTGCAAATATTAACAAATAAACTGAGAATCTCAGAATATTATAGTTTGCACCATAAAACACAGTGGAGGAAAAAAATAAAATGAAATTTTTAGCGTACTTTTGTAAAAAAATATTTTGGGAGAATTTTTTTAAATCATTCATATTTTTAGACTTTTTGACACCTATTAATTTTGAAATTTCATATCTAAAAATATATCGGTTACAAACTTCGACATTTTCACAGTTTATAAAACAAACTTTTCGCATTAAAAAATGATAAAGGAAATTAATTGGAGGATTTTTTACTTTTTTAAAACATATGCAAGCAGAATGGGAAATATCGGTTCTTCTTGAGCATAAATTCGAAACATCGGTTTCAAAGTAATAATCTCATTTCACCACACTATTTTTATGACATTATTTATACTATATAAGTTGTTATTATTGCCAGTTATTAGTTCAGCGTGAGATCGGAGATATTTCTGAGTTAGCTTTCTCTTAAGATGCGTTTTGCATTGCGTTTAACGTTCTTATAGATTAAAGCATAACTACTGATTATACTTATTGATATTCTAAACACTTGTATGAGTATTTCTGTGGAAAATTCCAGAACTTTGAAGTGCTTCTGTTGATAAAATGAATTTAATTAAGCTGCCATCGGATTTGAGTGCAATGACAATCATTTACAAACTGTTATCAATCTATTATGATATATGTACACACGCAACAATATTATAATTAATTAATGTATTAAAATTGTTTTGAACGTATTTTACAAACCAAAAACAGGTAAAGAAAAATTCTGCTTGCGTTTTATTATTTTTTTGCAATTTTTCTGGTTAAATAAGGTTTTAAAAAAAGGTTTGTAATTTATGTTTATATTTACCAATTGAATAAGTAGCACTAGGTTTGATTTGTATATATATGTGTGTGTGTATTGAAATTCAGTAATAAAATTTTAAAGAAATTTGAAATGGTTTAATGTCTATTTAGACAGTTTGTATTCTTTAAACTGCAAATGCAAACTGAGAAACGTTTTGCATTTTTTCAATAAATCCTTTTACTTAAAGTCCTAAAACATATACAGGTATGGACTAAATTATTTATTTTTTTACTGCTTATTTAAAATTATATACTTTATAGAAACAAGGATGGGTTTTTGCAAAATACTGAAAAGAAAATTATTGAATGAAAATGTGACTGAAATCATATTTGTTTTAAAGATTTTAGATAAAAGTGTGTTTTTATTTTTTTTCTCAAAAACTAATTCATTAATTGCAAATTCATTTCTTGAAGTATTTAAGAATACTGTATTAATACAATAAAAACTGGGGGGGAGACATTGAAAATTGTAGGAGAAGAAAGACATTTTAATTGTAAAATTTTTCTTCAAAAATTTTAATTAAAAAAAAAATTACTAGCACAAACTTTTTCTCAGCTTAAAATTATTTTGTTGTACAAAACCATTTAATAATATTCATAAAAAGTAGATGAAAGTGTTTAAATAAAAAAAAATCATTCAAAAGATACCAAGTCCCTTGTCGTGTTGAAGCCGATATACACTTGTCTAACTTTAGCTCAACGATATATCTGGAATACCCAGCATCAGATAACGTTGTCTATAATTTCTGTATCTTGTACATTTCTGTCTAATTTTGGAGGGGATGCTATCACGTCCCCAGACATCTATCAGTGCGATTGTTTCGCTAACAGTCCAGTGAGCAGTAACTAATATTAAGTGAACCGCCCAATCGCGTAGTATAGTACGGGAAATCTCCCCATTTGCCCTGCCCCCGAGAGGTAGGAGCATTCTAGCAAATTCTACCTCCAATTTGGAGAAGCAGTTAATGCTTGTTTGCCATGTGAATGGGACACATTGGAAAAAGCGTTTATCCCCGCCGGTCAAATCTGCTCTTGTGAACAGGGCTTATGTTACTGTATGGATACAGATTTCTTTTCTTGAGAACCTCTTGGTGACTAAAAGCAGATAAATTGTAAAGTTAGTTTCATAGCTATGACGGAATTGTGGTTCCATCGAATAACTGCGATGCCATGCTCTTTTAAAATGCAGTGTCATATGTTGTGCGTTGCTCTTTTTCCATTTTGTTTACAGGTATAATAGGATCATTTCACAATCTGAACTCAATAATTTCTGTAGCCACATGAACTCATTCAATTCTGACAACAATTTTTTCGTAAAAAAGCTGCTTAAATATACGTAATGATTTGAAGAAACTTCCACTGCTCTTAAAAGATCTGTTACAACATCTCTGCATAGTCTAAGATTAGTCAGTATCCTTGAAGATTTTACTGAATGTATATCAAAATGCTATAAATACTCTTCATAGCAATGCAAAACACTAAATTTTCTATTCAAAGGAAACTGTTTTTCCTTTAAGAAATAGTTTGCTTGAATGTTTACCAAAATAAGGCACCATTTGCTCATCTACAAAAAACTGTGTTAAAAAAACCTTTTGTAGCATGAAATTGGCATTTAAATAGAGGCAAACCTTACCCAGTTTTTTTATTTTAGCCAATCCTTCATAAATTATAATGCTTCATTCACCATTAAAACCATTGTCTCGGATATTCGATATTTCGGAACAGTTGTTTTGTGGCATGTGTAAAAGAAAATACCTTTATCAATGAAAATCTGTGTACAGTCACAAAGCCACTGCTTTCAACTGACATTGCATTTTCATAACATTTTAAAAAATGCATACTTGTACCAACAAAAATAAAATAATAACCTTGCCTTTTGACTCCATAATGCAGTCTAATGCTTCTGGAAGACAGGCGTATCTTCATAAAATTATTTGATTGGTTGCGTTTTCTATGAGATCTACTCAAAATTAAAAGAAAAAAACGTTGCAAAACGACCATTTATTTTTATAAAAAATTTTTAGTCTGAAACAGCTTTTTTTACTCGTAAAGAGTGAAGTTTTAACTACAATATATGAAAAAAGCTAAAGTAAGAAACTTGATGAAACAAGATGAAAGAAAATGTTTTGACTAATTCGGCCAAAATGCAACGCCAGTTGTTAATGGGTGAAAATAAAAATTCAACTATCTTCCTTTCACAGGTCAAAGAAATTGTGAGACTAAATTCCTCGATATCCTGTTCTGTTACAAACACGTTTCTCTAAAAACAAAGTATACAAAAAAAAGAATCATATTTACTCTATACATATGTTCTCTCAGACCACCAAGTAGTCAAACGTCCAATTTTTTCTCTAGTAAATTGTTTCAAATATAAAACTTTATTTTGCAACATACACACAAATATATACATCATAAAATTTGTACAGTTTTTAACTTTTATTATTCATTTTTTTTCTTTCTGCTAATTCAAAACATTAAATTTTCTTGTGCATAAAGTGAGCTGCATCTATCTAGTTTGCAATTTCGTAAGTTCCTTGTAAGAAATGGTAAAAATATAAAAAGCTTTCACATGTATTTGGTTGAACACACTTGCATATAAATTTTTTCTAATGCAACAACTTTTTCCAGGTAAATGGAATTTAGGTATTATACGAAAAGGCCGGTTTTTATATTTTTTTAAGTATTGTGTTTGTTTTAAATTTTAAAAAAATTAACTGGTAAATGGTTTTCATTTGTGGAAAATTGTTCTTTTCATGCTGTTGTGGAAACAATTTTGTTCTGAATAAAATATATATAAATTTCTTTCTGCAGGTTTTCTATGAAAGATGTCGTTTTTACTACAAACCAGCTGAATTAAAAATTTGACAAAAATTTTAATTTAGATTTAGTCTGTTGAAAAATTGAGTCAAAGAATGAAATTCTTCATAGAGAAATGTGTATATAGGGACGCTGTCTCATCATTTTCACAAACTCTGTAGCAAACATGTTCCAATTTTATGTAGTTTTTTACATTGTGAATCGTATAGATAATAAAATATTTTTTGCCAAAATTTTGTTTTCCATTCATGAAGTTCAATATTTAACCATTCTCTGTAAAAATCAGTGCAGTGTAAAAAAAAATATATGGTGATACATTTTAAATATTTTAGTTTTACAAAAGGATATTTAACTCTGTTTTCAGTATAAAAAACCTTTGGGATAGCAAATTAATCGACATTGCCTTGATTTTGAAGTGTAGGAGTATTTCTCTAGGAATTTTCTTTTCTTTAGTACTTTTGAGACTTCTCAAAGTGTAAACTTCCTTATTTACTTTCTTTTTCATATGCTCACATTTAAAAAATAAATCACGTGGTATACCATCAAAGTTGTTTGATATTCATCAAGCCTTTGACACGCAATGGTTGTGGCCTGAAACCACCAAGTTTCAAGTTTTTTTTTCTCCTCTTCATTCCGAAATGTTTTAGGGAAAACAGATTGATTACTGATCTTTTACCTCTACATAACACAAAATGACAGCAGAATCATGCGTTTTTTAGATCTTAGTACTTGAAATCATACGCCTTTTAAAATTCCTTTCCAAGGAGACAAAATAACTTCCTTCGATTAATATGATCGTGTCACATAAATGTGTGTGTCACGATCGACCTTTCTTTAGTTTTTTTAAGACCTCATTTTTTAAAGAAATCTAGGTAAATTAGGGTATAAAAGGAATTGTATGGAAAGGAAATTTTCGATGTTATTTTTTTTGGTCTGTATGCTAATCTCCCTATTCTAGTATTAAAATTTTAAATTTTGAAATCTTGTCTAAAATCGAATAGCGAACCGAGGTATTCCCAGACTGGACTCACTGCGAGTCTAGGTCACTGAGAGGCTGCTGTATCTTTGTTTCTCTGAAGCTCATCGGTCAGCTCATTAACATAGAAAAGTGAGTTCATATCTGTGTTTCATTTCCTGCTTTTCTCTTTCTTCTTCCCTCCTCTTCTGTCGGTTTTTTTTTTTTTTTTTTTTTTGGGGGAGGGGGGGTTTAGTTATCAACTAAGAAATTGTTGGAGTGATTTTCTGAAGGTCAGGGATAATTTAATCAGTTTTAGCTGTTATCAGTTTTTCACTAGAGCAGTTCTCTTTTTCGCATTGGTTCAAAGAAGTTTTCTTAGCACTGCATTTAATAGGTTTGAGTTGTAGACATTTATATTTTATAATTATAATTTATAATTTCAAATTGTAGATATAATATTAGTTTATTTTTTTTTTCGGAATTTTAATTAATTTCCAAACGGATCGGAGAGGGCTGACCATTTCTAAAGCACTGAAAGTGCTACATGAATTGCTTTCAGATAGTGAATCTGATACTGATCCCAGCACATGTGCAAAACATGCGATATTCGGTTGTGCTTTTTCAAAGGTGGAGTCACTTTCTTCGAAAAGTACCACGATGAAAAAAATAGACTAAAATGTAAATATCATGTACCGAAGTTACTTTTTTTTTTTTTTTTTCCATTCATAAGTATGTAATCATCATATAACCAAAAATGAGCTTTTTAGGGGGATGTAGAGTAGCAGGTCTTCCCATGGCATACCCTGGGTAATGCTAAATCTGCTATGGTATTCAGAATCTAGTATTTTTTAATCGTAGGCAAAATCTTTGACTGTTTTACGCGCTTCCCAGCAATGCTCATTTCAGCACTCTTTTCGAAGCTCAGAATTAACAGAATTAAAGTGATAAGTGCTATCTTTACAAAATTTTATTTGTGTACTCCTCTAGGCCTAATTAAACTGCCTAATTTTTTTTTTAATCGAAATTCCAACTTCAAAAGCTAACGTGCCGGAAAGGGTTAATAGCAGCATTCCGTACATGCAGCACCTAAAACATTCGATTTTCCTACACTTTTTCCAAGATAGATTTTTTACTAACTTAAAATACAATTTAATTTTTTTTAATCAACTGTCATGTATAAGTTGTACTATTTGTTTGTTAATATTAAAAAGTTGTTATAAAAATGCACAGTATGGCTGATAATTTGATTTCAATATTTCACTTTCGTATTTTTTTGGGCCAGGAGTCCTACCTGTATAAATAACATAGTTTACTTTTTGCTGATCTATCAATAGCTCGCTGAGCATACCTCGTACTGAAATATAGATAGAAGTATTACCTACCTACATAAAAAATAACAATAATAATTATTTAAACATCCTAAAAACTCATGTCAAAGGGAAAAAAAAAAACATAGATAATTATTAACAATATTTATTAATTCAAAGTAGCTACAGATAAAGACAGATTTAGAATTTACTTTGTGGCCTTAACATCAATGGGAAGACTGAGTCTGTGTGTCCCTAACCAAGGAAATATAATTAGGTGTATATCCTGACAAAAATAATATTGAGTCTTCAATATGTGAATCAGTCAGAATAGAACGTTATTTGGTCTTTGTTAGTTTCAAGTATGAAAATGCCGATTTGTATAGATATGTAGATCCAAAACAAGAATAGATATATTCGCTACATTTGGTGATACTGGGATATTTTTCTCTGTTGAATTATTTCCAAACTCTTCAATCATGAGAGTCGTTGGCAATTTCTTTTCTAATGCCGCAAAAAAAGCTGAATTTTGGCTATTTGCACCCAAGAAACATCCCCTAATCCAGAAGGCTTGTGATGAAAATCTCCCCCTGCGCACGGCCAAAAGAATCACAACGCTGAATTGGTGGAATGGCACGCTTCGAAGTCAACAACAAAGGTGTCGTGCTCTACGGCGACGCCTAAAGCAAGAGCGCAGACATAACCTAGAAACCTTCCACCCTGCTCATTTACCAACGGGAGCGAGCACTCTATAAGCGAATGATTCTGGAAGCTAAGATAAGCAGCTGGAGAAAATTCTGCACAGAAACTACGACCACCTTTGGTATCCACCACAAAATCGCAGCTGGCAAACTCTTCAAACCGGCAACTCTCTACCTCCAGCCAACGCCAAATACTAATGACCATCTCACGGAGGCTACGTTATCAGAGATCCTAAGGACAGTCTTCACCAAGGACAACCCGACAGAAGACACAGCCTTTCATACCATCGTCCGAAACCAGCCTCTTGAAATAAATACCATGGATGACCCTGATATTACAACTGCAGAAATACTCCAGGTCCTGCGCCAGCTTCCGCAGCGTAAAGCACCTGGACCAGATGGCATCGACAACCGGATAATAAAATTAATAGTGCGAACAAATGTCAACATCTTCCAACTGCTATTTAATCAGCTTCTTCGTACCGGGACATTTCCCAGGTGTTTCAAAATCGGTCATGTAGTCTTGTTCCTGAAGAAGAAGAACAAAGATCCTACGAGACCAGAGTCATTCAGACCGATCTGCTTACTCTCTACCCTGGGTAAGGTTTTCGAAAAGATACTCATGACAAGGCTAAGACACCATCTGCACAGAACCCGGTTCCTGAGTCCAATTCAATTTGGCTTTAGCCCAGGTAAATCAACACTACATGCTGCTCTGATGGAAGTCAAAAACCAAATACTGGCTAACAGATCCTCTGGCTACCACACAGCGTTCATTTCAATAGATCTTCAAGAGCGCTTTTGATACGCTGTGGTGGCCAGCAATATTACAAGCTCTACGAACCGCTAACTGCCCAAGCAATATTTACAACACCATCGTAAACTATTTAGCGGACCGCCGGCTGATCCTTCCACATAACACAGCGGAATTATAGAACAAGATCAGACACAGGGATGCCCGCAAGGCTCATGCGCGCCGGACCGTTCCTATGGAACATAACCTTCAACGGAGTCCTCAACAACCCATGGCCTGACCATACAAGGATCATTCGCTTACGCAGACGATACAGCCCTAATCGTCAAAGGAAGACCAGGAACCAGGGAAAAGCTCCAGGCCAATGCAATCGAATCCTGCTCCCTTTTTCAGGAAAGATGCACAGCCCTAAAACTTCAAATAGCAGAGGCCAAATCTCAAATTTTGCTCGTCCCAAAAAAAGGCGGATCGCTGGCAAGACAGCCAAGGATAACTTTAAACGGACATCGCCTCCGCATCACTCCAGTGCTGAAATATCTAGGAATTATCTTCGACACCAAATTAAACTGGATCCCCCATGTGCTGGAGCTGAAAAAAAGAAAACTGCAAGATTAGCCCAACAACTAAGATATATGCAGGGCTATAAATGGGGTCTCAATCCCTATATCCAGAAAACGCTTTACACAACAGTAGCCGAGAAAGTTTATAACTTATGGAGCGGCTGTTTGGTCAGCGCCTATGCAGGGCCGCAAAGTCAAGCATCTACTTAGCATACAAAGGCCTTTTCTCCTGAATGTCACCAAGGCCTTCCGAACATCCCCTACAAATGCGTTATGCGTACTAGCGGGATTGCTACCGCTCCATCTGAGCGTAGAAAAGGAAGCAGCCTATCAGGAGATCACTCAACTTGGCAATCTAACCACCTTCAGAGACGAGCTATACTCACCAGCCGAATTTGAACAAAAGATGATACGCCTTGCCGATCACCCCTCAACGCAGGGCAGGGACAGGGAGTAAAGATTAGCATCAAGCAAAACACCAATGTAAAGGAAGATGATCTAGTCTATTATACCGACGGGTCAAAACTAGATGAAAATACAGGTTGCGCCTATGTTGCCCTCAGACAGCAAAGCACAATAGCACAATGGAAAGGTCACCTGGACACAAACAACAGCGTGTTCCAGAGTGAAGTAATGGCCATCAAACAAGCTCTACTTACGATAATCCAACAGCGGCAAGAGCAAAGAGACAGCTTCATTATAACAGACAGCCTCTCCTCCCTGTATGCAATTGTGAACCCTGTGCACAGCTCCCCACTGATTGCAGAGATTCAGACACATCTGCGCGACCACAGCCATCTTAACACCAGGATAGAATGGACCAAGGCCCACGTCGGCAACAGGGGGGAACGAGCAAGCAGATCAACTTGCAAAGGAGGCTGCAAGAAACATCAATGCGGAACATATCACCATCCCTTGGCCAGTTTCATATTTAAAGAAAAGTCTGAAACACA